GCCAGCTCGGCCCAGGCAGCGCCGTCCCCGCCATCCCTGCCGCCTGTAGGCTCCCCCGCCCCGGCCTCCCCAACGTGCCAGGGCCCCGGCAGGAGGCAGCACCGAGTGTGGCCACTCCTGGTGGGGCCTCACCTGCGGGCCTCGGGGACCCCATCCCTGCTGAGCTCCAGCCACACTGCACCTGTCCCTCCAAGTCCCCGGCTCTCGGGCCGCAGCCCTGCCCGGCCGAGGAGCCCTGACTCATCTTTCGAACCCAAGGCCAAGGTCACTCCCCCAGGTAGCTCACGGCTGATTTTTCCGGGCAGGGGGGCCGGGGTCTCACCCGGAGGGTGTCTACCTTGCCCACTGGCCCGTGACTACAGGAAAGGGGTCACCTCCCATCCCCTGCCCAGCAGGGTGAGATGGTCCCAGAAAGGGGCAGCGTGGGGGGCCCAGCCGGGGTGGGGGGCAGGTCCCCGAGCCACACCCAGCCCCGGGCAGCAGCGTGTACCCCTCCCACCTGCCTCGGTCCCCGCCCCCGCCGTCTCGGGCTGTCCTTGTGCTCCCAGCTCGCCCCTGCTGCCTCTCCAGGCTTGAGTGAGCCTGTGAGCTGCAGCATCACACCCTTGGACCCCTCCCTGGGCCACTCCACGGGTAGGGGGCAGGACCCCCGTGTTGCACAGCCCAGGGGGCTCTCGGCGCAGTCTGTGTGCCAAGGGGTGTGGTGTTGCCCAGGCCTGCTGCCCTCCCTGGGGGCTCCCCGCATGGACCCCCAGCCCCCACCCCGGGGGCTGCTGTATGAATGTCGTGGGGGGGGTGCTGTCATTCCCCCTACCCTCAGAAGACAAGCCAGGTGGGCTGCTTTGCACCCCTTTCCCTCCACGCTCTGCTCTTTGGCACCGTGGCCCGGGGGGCACGTGCGGGACTCCAGGGAGGCTGGACCAGGGACTGGGTGGTGGCAGGAGCCCTGTGGCCCTTGCTCCTGGTGGGGTGACCCGCCCAGCCCCCCAGGTCTGGCCAGCTCCGGGCTTGTGGTATCCAGGGGCCACGGTCGAGAGGGGCCCCCGTGGCCTAGAGGAAGGGGTCCCCCGTGACATCCCCCTTTGGACCCCCCCCAACCCTCTGCTGAGCCTCCGGGCCTCTCCTCAGGACTCAGGGAACAGTCCCTCTGCTGCCAGCCGCTGGGCAGGGGACAGCCGGGGTAGGGTGGGTTGGGGGGTGGGCGGCCACAGGAGCTGCCTGCAGGGGGCAGAGTCGGGACGGGGACCGAGGCCTGACAACCCTTCTGGAAGCTTCCATGAGGCACAAGGGGTGTGTGCAGCTGGGAGGCCTAGCACGGGCGGGCATCGCTGGGCGCTCGGTGGGGACCAGGGGGGCCGTGGAGCAAGGAGGGGCCTGGCGTGCTGGGTCGGGGGCGTGAGCCGTGTGGCCAGGGCCGCCCTGGACACGGAGCCCGCTCGGAACAGGGAGGCAGCCGGGTTCGGAGCGGCCGCGCACCTGGGTGGAGACCGGCTGCCGCGGGGCCTGGGGCTGCGAGGGCGGGGGCAGAGCCCGCGAGGGGCCCCTTGGGCTGAGCCGCGGGCCGCGCGGAGCCAGAACAGACACAGGAAATGGCCTAATTGCATTTGCGCAAGAACACCAAATCCCTTGCAGCTGCGCGCTGAGCCGGGCCACGGGCGGGGCCGCCATCACCAGAGTCCTGACAGCTCTGCTGAGCGTGCCAAGGGTCTGGGCTGCGGGCCGGGGGCGCCTCTCCCAGGCCAGAGGCCCCCACCCCGGCCGGGAGAGCCGCCCCTCTCAGTTCCCAGAACGGGGCCCAGCTGCGGGGTGGGGGTGAGGCCACAGAGGCCGCATGACTCACATCCTGGGGAGGCAGGCGGGGTAGGGAAGGGGCCCCGGCCCCCTCGTGCAGGGGGGCTCCTCGGCTGCAGCCCACGCCGTCCCCCAGCCCCGCCAGTGTACCCCTGCATGGGGCTGGTGCTCCCAGAATGCTCCCAGTCCTGGCCATGCACCCCTGCATGGGGCTGGTGCTCCCAGAATGCTCCCAGCCTCGGGCCAGGGCCGGCACTGCCCCGTCGGGGGATGGTGAGCGGTGAATGTTTGCAGTGAGGTGGGGGCACCCCCAGGGGTCGCTGGAGCAGGGACGGGGACTGCCATGTGGGGGTCCCCTTGTTCCCAAGTCTAAGTCTGCACATGGATGTCCTTGGGTTCACATGTGTGACCATGCATGTGCTCACGTGTGCAGAGTGTGGGCGTGTGTGCCCATGTGGGCCCGGGTGTGGGGCTCACGGAGAATTCGTGTGAGCCGGGTGTGCATCTGCGTGTGTCCGAGCACACAGGAAGCCCGTGGCCCACAGTGTGTGTCAGGCGTGACCACCGAGGGCCTTTGTGGGCTGCGGGGCCTGGACGCACTGCCTGGGTGTGGGCCCCGGGGGGTCGCACACACCAGGGTCACCTGTGCTTCCAAAGGCCCCAGGGCTGGGTGGAGGAGCCTGGAGAGGGCCCCACAGACAGGCCCAGGACAAGGCCTGAGGAGGAGCTGGGCTCTACGGCAGGCCCAGGACATGCACACGGCACACCCGGGCACACACACACACCTAGGCACATGCACACAGCATACCCGGGGACACACACACACACATAGGCACATGCACACAGCATACCCGGGGACACACACACACACATAGGCACATGCACACGGCACACCCGGGCACACACACACACATAGGCACATGCACACAGCATACCCGGGGACACACACACACATAGGCACATGCACACAGCACACCCGGGCACACACGCACACATAGGCACATGCACACAGCACACCCGGGCACACACGCACACATAGGCACATGCACACGGCACACCCGGGCACACACACACACATAGGCACATGCACACGGCACACCCGGGCACACACACACCTAGGCACATGCACACAGCATACCCGGGGACACACACACACACATAGGCACATGCACACAGCACAGCCGGGCACACACACACACCTAGGCACACGCACACATGGGCACATGCACACAGCACACCCGGGCACACACACACACCTAGGCACATGCACACAGCACAGCCGGGCACACACACACACATAGGCACATGCACACAGCACACCCGGGCACACACACACACCTAGGCACATGCACACAGCACACCCGGGCACACACACACACCTAGGCACATGCACACAGCACACCCGGGGACACACACACACCTAGGCACATACACACAGCACACCCGGGGACACACACACACCTAGGCACATGCACACAGCACACCCGGGGACACACACACCTAGGCACATGCACACAGCACACCCGGGCACACACACACACATAGGCACATGCACACAGCATACCCAGGGACACAGCACACCTAGGCACACGCACACATGCACACATGGGCACATGCACACAGCACACCCAGGCTCACAGCACACCTGGGCACATGCACACAGCACACACGTGCACACACGCACACCCAGGCACACACGCAGATGCGAACGGGGATCAAGGGAGCAGCGTGGCCAGGCTCCCCCTCCCTGAGGCTGCCCAGGACTGGGCTGGGGGCGCCTTCTCTCCACGCTGCCCTGCCCTGTGCACCCTCCACTCGGAGAGCCCTGCACCGGCGCTGCCCCCCAGCCAGAACGTGGGCCCCGCAGCCCCCGCCCGCGAGGGCCTGCAGCGCAGGAAGCGCTTCATCTGCCGGAGTGATGGGAGCCAGGTGTGGGGAATTAAGTGGCTTCCTCGGGCCGGGGCTGAAGGCACTTCTGAGAACAGGCGGGGGACGGGCTGGGGGTGCGGAGGCTGGGTTTGCGTGGCGGGGGTCCCCTGTGGCTGCGGTGGGGGAGCAGGCCTTGAACCCAGGCCTGTGGAAGTGCCTGGCTTTCGTCTGCGAGGCTTAGGGGAGACCTGCAGGAGATGAGCTCATGTGCTGGCCGCGCTGCCTGGCGGGCCTGGGGCCCAGCGGGGAGTGGACGGTGGGGTCAGGCAGCGGACACAGTCCGGGAAGAAGCGAGACCCCGGCCGGGAGACCCCAGCCCTGCACCCAGCTCTGGCGGGGCCCCCAGGCCTGGGGTCGTCAGCCCTACAGAGACGCACAGAGACCCCTCGGGCTGCACGTCCCCAGGCCTGCCAACCATGTGCTCCCCGCTCTGGCGGCACCTGGCCCCCGAGTGAGGGGCTCCGCACAGCTGCGGTATCAGGGTGCTGAGGGCAGAAGCCCTCCCTTGCCTCAGTTTCCAGGCTTTGGAGCATCACAGAGAGACTGGCAGGAGGGCTCTGAGAGAGGGAGGGGGTGGCATTGAGTGAGCTGACCCTGCAGGGCCCCCAGCCTCGGGTTCGGGCCCAGGCCTGAGGCCATAGGGCTTCTCCTCCAGGCAGGGCTGGTGGCGGCTGGTGGCGGGCTGGGGGCGGCTGGTGGTGGCTGGTGGCGGGCTGGTGGCAGGCTGGTGGCGGGCTGGGGGCACCGGGCCTGGCTAGCCAGGGCAGCTCCTTCCCCAGCCTTGGCCTCTCTGCAGGGCACCTTCTTGCAACACATGTGTCCTTCGGGTGCAGTGGGGTGGGGTGGCTGCCTAGCCGGGTCACCCACTGGGCCCCGCAGTGCTTCGTGGACTCGGGTGCCGTGGCCGGTCTCTCTCTGCACCCGGCATTCCTGGAGCCTCCGGGGCCGAGGCCACAGTGGTGTGGCCCTGATCAGGTCTAGGCAGGCAGTGGCTGGTGGAAGTGGGTGGAGGGGCTTACGTCCTGTCCCTGGGACTCTGCCGGCCTGTCAGGAAGCTGGAGGAGCCGCCACGCCGTGTGGTGCCCGGGGACCCCCACCTGGGCCAGAGGGCACCTGGTGGCCGCTCCTGGCCGGCCTCTGTGTTAAGGACGGGTGAACGAGGCCCGGAGCCAGGCTGGGGGCTGGCCCTGGTCCTCCCAGCAAGGCCTGCCTGGGCGGGAGGAGCAGACTGGCACCCCATCTCGGTGGCAGTGTGACTGTCCCTGTGTCCCCCACCCCAGGCTCACCACCCAGTGGAGCGTGGAGGATGCAGAGGAGGCCACCCGTGAGCAGCACTGGCGTGAGCGAGATGGGCAGCCACAGGCCCAGGATGAGGACGGAGGTGGCCAGTCCCTGGAGCGGCCGGAGCAGGAGACGCTGTGAGCCACCCTCACCGCTTACCTGGGCCCCAACCCTGCTTCCTGCAGCCCGGCCTGGGCAGGGGGTGCTAGTGGCCGGGCCGTGTGCCTGGGGGTCCCTGTGCAGGGTGGGGACGAGGGGGTGTCTGTCCCAGGAACAGGGGCAGGGTGGTCAGCCTGCCCCACGCCTGACCGGCCGAGGGGCTGTGGGGACCGGCGAGGTCACCGCTTCCCGGCCGGCCCCCCGGGGCTCTGCCTGGGGCCCTCGCTTGGACGGCTCTGACCCCAGCTGCGCAGCCCCGGCCCCCGGGCCCCCACCCCGGCTCCCTGCTGCCGGTGACTCACGGAGGCCACGTCCAACTTGGCGGGGCACAGGCCCGCTCGTTTCCTCCCTGGGCCCAGGAGGCCTCCGCGGCTGGGCTGGGCTGTTTTCCCAATAACGCTCCCCTTCCTCCTGGCGCGGTTTTGTTCCATTTTCTCCGAGTCAGCAGCTCTGGGTGGAGTGGGGTGCTGCAGCGGTCACAGCCCCTCGGCCAGGTCCTCGGTCACCCCTAGGCCTCGGAGCCCTGTGCAGCCCCCAGCCCCAGCGCCCCGGTTAGGCCACCCTGGATGGCTTACCCTGTGAGGACGGTGGGCAGGGGCCTGGGCACCAGAGCCCTCGGGAAGCTCCCGGCTGTTGGGGGACACACAGCCCGGCCTCGGGGAGCCCCAGTATGATGGGGGACACACAGCCCAGCCCTCGGGGAGCCCCCAGATGTTGGGGGACACACAGCCCAGCCCTCGGGGAGCCCCCAGATGTTGGGGGACACACAGCCCAGCCCTCGGGGAGCCCCCAGATGTTGGGGGACACACAGCCCAGCCCTCAGAGAGCCCCTGGCTGTTGGGGGACACACAGCCCAGCCCTCGGGGAGCCCCAGGCTGATGGGGGACACACAGCCCAGCCCTCGGGGAGCCCCAGGCTGATGGGGGACACACAGCCCAGCCCTCGGGGAGACCCAGTCCTATGGGGGACACACAGCCCAGCCCTCAGGGAGCCCCCACCTGTTGGGGGACACACAGCCCAGCCCTCAGGGAGCCCCCACCTGTTGGGGGACACACAGCCCAGCCCTCGGGGAGCCCCAGGCTGATGGGGGACACACAGCCCAGCCCTCGGGGAGCCCCAGATGTTGGGGGACACACAGCCCAGCCCTCGGGGAGCCCCGGGCTGATGGGGGACACACAGCCCAGCCCTCAGGGAGCCCCGGGCTGATAGGGGACACACAGCCCAGCCCTCGGGGAGCCCCAGGCTGATGGGGGACACACAGCCCAGCCCTCGGGGAGCCCCAGGCTGATGGGGGACACACAGCCCAGCACTTGGGGAGCCCCAGGCTGATGGGGGACACGTAGCCTGGCCCTCAGGGAGCCCCCGCCTGTTGGGGGACACACAGCCCAGCCCTCGGGGAGCCCCAGTCCTATGGGGACACACAGCCCAGCCCTTGGGGAGCCCTCGCCTGTTGGGGGACACACAGCCCAGCCCTCGGGGAGCCCCAGTCCTATGGGGACACACAGCCCAGCCCTCGGGGAGCCCCAGGCTGATGGGGGACACAAAGCCCAGCCCTCGGGGAGCCCCAGACTGTTGGGGGACACACAGCCCAGCCCTCGGGGAGCCCCAGACTGTTGGGGGACACACAGCCCAGCCCTTGGGGAGCCCCAGTCCTTTGGGGACACACAACCCAGGCCTCGGGGAACCCCTGCCTGTTGGGGGACACACAGCCCAGCCCTTGGGTAGCCCCAATCCTATGGGGGACACACAGCCCAGCCCTCGGGGAACCCCAGGCTGATGAGGGACACACAACCCAGCCCTCGGGGAGCCCCAGGCTGATGGGGGACACACAACCCAGCCCTCGGGGAGCCCCAGGCTGATGGGGAACACACAACCCAGCCCTCGGGGAGTCCCAGGCTGATGGGGGACACACAGCCCAGCCCTCGGGGAGCCCCAGTCCTATGGGGGACACACAGCCCAGCACTCGGGGAGTCCCAGGCTGATGGGGGACACACAGCCCAGTCCTCAGAGAGCCCCTGCCTGTTGGGGGACACACAGCCCAGCCCTCGGGGAGCCCTAGGCTGATGGGGTAAACAGAGCCGTGCCCTCGGGGAGACCCAGGCTGATGGGGGACACACAGCCCAGCCCTCGGGGAGCCCCAGTCCTATGGGGGACACACAGCCCAGCCCTCGGGGAGCCCCAGGCTGATGGGGGACACACAGCCCCGCCCTTGGAGAGACCCAGGCTGATGGGGTATACACAGCCCGGCCCTCGGGGAGACCCAAGCTGATGGGGGACACACAGCCCAGCCCTCGGGGAGCCCCAGATGTTGGGGGACACACAGCCCAGCCCTCGGGGAGCCCC